ATGACCTTGGGGACTCCCATGAAGTGTCTCACACTTCTTGGGAGACCTGCAAATAATTCTTTACTCAAATGTAGGTTGCATAAGCATATGTATTTATTTGAAGCATTATTGCCCTCAGTGGCTCACAGATTAGAACACAGCCAGGTGTATAACCTAAATGAGACAACATGAAAGGAAAAAAGGGGGGATAAGTGGTGAGGAAGCAAACTCAGACATCAGTCTGTAAAGTTATCAGAGTCCTTATATTGAGTACTTGGGATGAAAACAGTTCTGGAGGAGGAAGAATCACCAGCAGAATTAATGGCATGACCCAACTGTCCATTTGTTTGAGTCTGAATGGCTGTTCATGCTGAGATGGAATGGTCATAATCAAGTCACAACTAGGTCCCTTAACTGGCTCTGCAACAAACTGGTAACTCAATGTGGTGTAGCACTTAAAACATCAAGTTAGGCCTATCCAGGCTCAGTACTCACTTGACCATGAACCATAGTGGGTGGTCCTGATTCAGTAATTTCCTCTTGGCCTAACCTACCACAAAGAGTTGTTGTGAGGATAAAAACAGTTCCAAAACTATGGTGGCTGGCAGTCATTAATAGGGCTGTCTTCCGTGAACCCACACGCCTTCTTGAAGAGAAATAGAACATAAATATAAGAAGGAGAGAGGAGGAGCATATCAAATTGGGCATATTTCCCCCTTGAAGATGGTCTGAGACTGGCCTTTCCCCTCTGAGCCAAGCACAACTGGGTCCAACAAAATTTGTGGAAAGAAGAAATTGATGTCCTGAGGATGTGATATCACAAGGAATGTCCCCAATTGGGGGAACAGCATTGCACAGGAAACTAGTCCTGAGGTTTCCAGGCTGTCGCTTGCTAATATCCAGATGGTTTGGATATAGAAATGATGAAATCATTCCCTAACTGTTGTCAGAACAAATGGCCATTAAACAAAGTTATTTGAAGTTATGTTCAGTTCATTTGATTAATTTTTAGAACTATAGTAGAGTCTCGCTTATCTGACCTTTGCTTATCTGTCATTGTCTTACCCAATGCCCCCCTTTTCCTTCAGCATTTCCTCTTCAATTAAAGGAGCTCTCTCCAACTCTCTCTCCATTCCCAATAAGTGAAAAAGGCAAGACGAGGAGGAGAGGAAAAGAGGCAGGGCTGGAAGCGAAAGCGTCCTCCCTTCTTCCCTCGATGATTTCCACGCTCCTCTTCCGCATCCGGGCACTTCCTGCTGGGCTTATCCCCGAGGCATTGCCTTGCCTTAACCCTTTGAGTCCCTGTTAGTATTCTAGGTGTCTAGCACTGCGTCGAACAGGTAACAGTAGGAGATTCCATATTATCCGACATTTTCGTTTGTCTGACGTTCTGCCGGCCCATTTATGTCGGATAAGCGAGACTCTACTGTACTCCACTTTGCTGCCATAACTGAACATAACACCTCTTCTGGAACAACAAAAAATACATGTGTCACCTTCATTGACCTTAAGGTTGCACTAGTGAGCGTCTGTATTACAGATTCTATAGAACAAGGTGGGGGTTCAAAGAGCTTTTAAAAGATTTTTGTCTTTTTCTTTTGCAACGACCTGTTTATGGAACTCATTGTCCCAAGAGCTAAGATTATCATCTTTACTGGCGTTCTGCTGATTTTTCCCTTCTTTCAACAAGCTTTTAACTCTGTCAATATCTAACACAGTAGTCCAGGGAGAGATACAGCAGCTGATCCACACTCTTTTCTGTGCTTTGCCAGCTCATCCGGCCAGGACAGCAAATGTGCAAAGGAAGATGGCTTTTTTATTTTTATTTTTTCAATAGCAACTGTAGGCTGGTGAAACTGGCAGTGTGATAACCCACTCAGGGGGGAGACTGCTTGGGATGCAAACATTATTCCAAATAATGTTTTGGCAATATGTGAGCTTGGCTGCTCCTTTTTAATTTAGCAACACAGCAATAACATCTGCAGAAAGAAAATAATTGTTTCATAGACTTGGGTAGGATTGGGATTCTAATTTGGATATAAGGGAAGAAATCAGTGTGTTTGAGGGGGGAAAGTGAACAAGGAAAGGACTCTTCCACATAACACCAAGCCATGGTGTTGACATACATATGAACCAACCAATTGCTTTTTTAGGATTACTCTTTTTTTTATATTTCTCTTAATTTAGTTTTTGTTACTCTTTGTGCAAGTTGTACCCTTTTCACTGATGTTGCATCTTTTATTCATCTTTACTTACTTGGTATTTGGGTTAGTGCACCTCAAAGGCTTGTCTTTTATTGCCTTTCTGTCCCCTGACAACTTTGATGAGGTTGGCTTCTTGTGCCCTATTTTTTGTTTTAAGACTTCCTCATTTAGACATATATGCACAAAAATCTCCATTCTCATGGAAGCCATATCTGCAGTGACAGAGTATATGAACCCAAAGCTTACTCCCATAGTCAGGTCTGAGGATAAAATTCGCTTAGCCGTGTGTGACTCGACACTTTATTCCACTGGATTTCAGTCTCTAAATCTGCTGCTTCTGTTGTTGTTATGTGTCTTCAAGTCATTTATGACTTATGGCAACCCTGAGGTGAATCTACATGGGGTTTTCTTGGCATAATTTATTCAGAGGTGCATTGTCTTTGCCTTCCTCTGAGAGTCTGTGACTTACCCACGGTCACCTGTTGAGTTTCAGTGGCTGAGTGACAGTTTGAACCCTAGTCTCCCAGTGTCTTAATCTGACACTCAAACCAGTGCACTCTTCTGAATTTCTCTACATATGTAACAATAATTCAAATAAGTAGGATATTCTGCTAAACATTGAAACAATTTCCTACATGGCACTTTGAGATAAGTCCTCTTAGATCCTTACCAACTTGGATGCCACACTTGATACCAGAAGATACTTTTGGCCTCTGTTTGTCCACTAATAATGGACTCATTTCAAGCCAAAAAAGGTGCCTCCACTGAAGCTTTATCGCTAATCCTTGTTTCTACAATAAGTCATTTTTTTCCAAAACCATTTATCACAGTGACAGGAAGTGAGGTGAAATCTTCTGAACAGGGGCACACACGGCAAAACAAACACCACAGGGGTGTTAAGTCTTCCCTATGCTATCCAAATATATATGGCTGGAATTGCACTTAAAAACATACCTGTTCCAACTTACAAACAAATTTATTCATTTGTTTATTTATTTACAGTATTTATATTCCGCCCTTCTCTCCCTGCAGGAGACTCAGGGCGGATTACAGTGCTCATATACATGGCAAACATTCAATGCCACAGACACACAACATATTTAGACAAACACAGAGGCAATTTGACATTACAGCTTTATGAGATTATGCTTGAATTCCGGCCACCGGTGGAGCTGTCACTTCACTGTTCACTTGTGACACCAAGTCCTTGATGGAGTACTTCCTCATTGTTACGCCCGCTGCTGGAAATTTTTATGGCATTGTAAATTAGGTAAATTAGCCTCCCCGCATAAGCAGTACCTAAATTTCCTACTTGACAGATGCAGCTGTCTTTCAAGCTAAAAGGTCAATAGCAAGCTAGACAAAAGGTCAGGAGCTTTCTCCACCCCAGGCTGGCTTCGAACTCATGACCTTTTGGTCAGTGGTGATTTAATGCAGCTGACTCCTAGCCAACTGCGCCACAGCCCGGTCCACAGCCCCATCCAAATTCAACTTAAGAACAAATATACAGTACCTAAATTGTTTATAACTTGGGGACTGCCTGTAGTCAATGTCCATTCACAACAGTGCAGGTTTTCAACATGTCTGAAGGAGACAATTATAAGGCCTCTGTTGAAAAAGACTTCCATGGATCCTACCATAGTTGATAAATACCAGCCAATATCCCCCATTCTGTTTTTGAGCAGTTTAAAAGAACATGTGATGGATTCTCAGCTGCAGGGATCCCCAGACAAAATAGATTATTTTGATCCATAGCCATCTGGTGCCAGGCCTGGTCAGGGGAAGGAGATGGCTTTGATTGGCTTGGTGGATGACTTAGAAAAGGAGAGCATGCCCTTGATGGCTCTGCTGGATCTCTCAGCAGCTTTAATTTGACCATGGTATCCTTCAGAGCTGCCTTGCATAGAAGAGGCCTGGAATCACTGTTTTACAGTGACTGTATTTCTTCCTGGAAGGATGAGCCCTGAAGAGCTCACTTGGTCATTGTCCCTTGGATCATCCCCCCAAGCTATTTCTGATTCTAACTATGCCCATTCCTCGAGATGCCTGACCTGACCACAGTTTTACATCCCTTGGTTGCATCCCAATTGGATTACAGCAATGTGCTGTGCGAGATTGCCTTTGAAAAATGTTTGAAAACTCCTGACGGTAGAAATAGTCCTTGCCTATTACATGGAGTAGTTACAGGAATTACACAGCTCCCCTGCTCTATGAACTCCAACAGCTACTGATCTATTCCTGGGCATAATTCAAACTGCTAGTTATGACCTTAAAGGCCCGATGTAGCTTAGGACCCAGCTTTCTGACAGAACACATCTCCCCCTATGAGTCCATCCAGACCCTGAGGTACACTGCAGATGCACTTCTTTCATTCCCACTACTTTCATAGGTATGGTTACTGGGAGTACAAGGTAGAATCATTTTGGTAGTTGCTCCTAGACTTTGGAACGCTCCTTGCTTACCTTCAGCTGGCTTTTAGAACTGACAGCTTTTAAGGAACGGGTTTGCTATGCTGTATAGTTTATGTTGTGCTGTGTTAAGTGCTGTTTATCTTTGTTAAATGTGTGTTGTAAATATAGTTCTATTCCAGTGTTGCCTTTTTGTATATTTTTAACTATTTTGTTGTTTTGATTTGTAAAGTACTTTGAGTTCTTTGGGGAAAGAGGGGTATAGATGACAATAGCAATGACTACACCTGCACCTCCAATTTCCCTTTTTTGTTACTGCCTGACATATTTGACCCTTGGTGTGATAAAGCATTGTTCTATTATTTGTGCTTACTGAGGCTTTAACTTTTCTCTTCTGCCTGTCTTACAGAGTTCCTGCTGGGGACTGTGCGGAAGGATGGCAGCTGCAGAGCCCCTGACCGCGTTCTCCCGCTGGTACCTCTATGCCATTCATGGCTACTTCTGTGAGGTGATGTTCACAGCTGCTTGGGAGTTTGTAGTTAATTTCAACTGGAAGTTCCCAGGCGTCACGAGTGTATGGGCCCTCTTCATCTACGGAACCTCCATCCTCATCGTAGAAAAGATGTACCTGTACCTGAAGGACAAGTGTAACATACTCCTGCGCTGCCTCATTTATACCTTGTGGACGTATGTTTGGGAATTCACCACTGGCTTCATCCTGCGCCAGTTCAACGCTTGCCCTTGGGACTACTCTCAGTTTGACTTGAACTTCATGGGCCTCATAACTCTGGAGTATGCCATTCCGTGGTTCTGTGCGGCCATTATCATGGAACAGCTAGTCATCAGGAACACCCTGCGTTTGCGCTTTGATGAGAATGCTGAACCCGGGGTGCCCACTCCTACTGTAACCTTGGCCAATGGTCATGTGAAAACTAATTGAAAGGTGAACTTGAAGTTATGCTGTGAACTTTTCTGCCCCCTCTGTTGAAGACTTGCAATGACGGCCTCCAAACGAAACTTCTTCCTGTATGATAAACAAACCTCCTAGATTGGGAGGTATGCATGAAAAAGCGGAATCAGTAGGTTTTCTATGGAATTTGCCCTTTTTTCTTTCTTAAACAACAAGTAGCACAGTCAGCTATCTGTTGGATAGATACTTTGACTTGTAACTTACTGTGAAAGCAGTCCTGTTACCTGCATTTTACTGCATAGGGTTTGGGTGGGGAGGGGAGGGGATAAGACAAACGCTAGTCAACGTTTACAAAATAACAAGTTAGTGGATTGACACAGATACCCCAGTTAATGTAGATTTGGCTTCTATTCCGTTTGGCAATATTCAGGTGCTTGCTTGCAACCAATACCTCCCGCGGGACCTGAGATGCTACAGGGTCAAGGAAAAACCAACTGCTGCTGAGACAGCCCAACAGTGGCAGCCTTCTGGGGAGGTAAAATTTGCCCTCTTGTGTGCTCCTCCTGAGGCTTTTTTTTTAAAAAAAGATTGCACCACCACGTATAATATTATGGTGCTGGACATCTTGCTGAATTTATATAACATATATACTTTTTGAACCATCCAATGTAATGCTCGCTCAAGAGCTTGTTCTCTCATTCATATATATATAAATATATATATATATATATATATATGAGTACTTTTTTGCTGGATGAATGATAGCATTCCTGTACAAGCTGCATTTTGGCCAAGTAGTCAAAAGTGGGAAAGAAGTATGGCCGAAGTCTTCCCTGCCTCCTGTCTTTGCACCTTGTAGTGGAACTCAATAGAAGGGCTCCTTCAAGTCTGATCCTTGCAACTCTCAAAGTAAGCGTTCTCATCACCAGGCTCCTCTATGGCCCCACAACCTGTAGCTGGGCAACACTCTACCACTTAATTCTATTGTTATGGATCACCGGCTGGCCCTGGTGTCAATGTCATCTGCCCTCCTTGGGATTTGGAATCCTGTCAAACAGACTATTGAATACTTGTGTGTATTTTGTTTTCTACTGCATTTTCTCTGCACCCCGCCTACTGTACTCAGTATGCTCATCACAGTGTTAACGGTGCAGCAATTAGCCCTGTTCTTCATCAGGTTATTGATGAGTAGCTGCTGATGATACAATATTGCTTCAGAGTGAGGGGCACTGAAGAATTTTTCTCCAGTTACTTTCAGATGGGCTGTGAACAATTTTCTGCATGTTTTCTAGAACTTGAGGCAAACTTCCCAAGGAGATGCAACTTTCTTGGGTTTTGCAAGAAGTAGCAATCATAAGGAAGATACTTTCCATCTGGCAGCCATCAAATGATGTTTTGTTCATCTGAGAGTAAAAGAAAAACAACAAATCCCAACCTATCTTTTTGGGATAAGTGGGTTTGTTGAAAACAACTAGCATCCAAGAGCCTTAAGAGGAGGTCATGCTTGTGATTCGGCCACCTGGCCCAGAACAGTTCCACGTACCTGAATGGAATGGTATTGCACTAGCAATGAGCTTGACTTGTGATGTGCATTTCTCCATGTGGTCCCAAATCCCCTCTGTGTTTGAAAATATGGCTGATTTCTTTGGCTGACCACTGACTGTTTCAACCACCTGGTAATCGGCTCAAACAGCTCCTCTTTGTCCTATTTAGTTCCATTGAAGGGGAAACAAAACATACCCAGAGAGAGAATGTATCCATACTGCATTGTTTTAGCAGTTTGATCCCATTTTAACTGTCAAGGCTCCATCCTGTAGAATTCTGAGATGGGTTATTTGGTGAAATGCCATTCAGCTAGAAAGCTCTAGTAAACTACAGATCCCAGGATTCCAAAGCAAGAAGCCATGAGTTAAAGTATCACAGCATCATACTGCTACAATTGTGCATTGTCAATGTCCTGAAAGACACCTGGTCATCCTGAATGGATTCTACAAAGTGTTATACATGAGAAAAAGTGTAGCATTAACCTGTCTCGTGTTTTCAGTTTGTGATTAATTTATGTCTCCCCATTTCCCTTCAGGTATGACATCCATTGCTGGCAATGGATGGGCAGGAGCACTGCCAGCAGACTTTTAATCAGGTCTGCTCTGTGGTTGACAGTGTCTCCTGAAATACTCTGCACTTAGCAAACAACCACACAGATTAGCAGTTTTCTAGTTAGTCAGATTTTTAAAATTCACGATTGAATCGAGCTCTGCTTTATGTGTGGTGTGGGGCCAGACCTGATTTATTGCTTAGCAGCCTTGCAACACTAGTTAATTGGAGTGGAAATAAGGTGGACGGGAAACCCACTGTTTCTGGAGTCATGATCTGAAGCCTTCTTCCAGTGCAGCAGTCCTGTCAATGTTTACTCAGCAGCAAGCCCACTTGAATTATTGGGCAGGAACTGGACTCCGTGACCTCCAAGGTTTCCTCCTCCAACACTTTGTGATTCTAAGTGGGCATAGGATTGCAGCCTTAATCAATATCGGGATGCAGTGAATACTGTAAAGAGAAAACACATTTTCTTGGCATCCTACATCTCTAAACTGCTGTTCTGTCCTCTCAAAATAAATTGGGAAGATATTGGATGCTGGCTTTGTGGCTTCTCGTGAAAAACTTTTTAGAAAACACTAAAAGCAATTTTCCTCCAAATGTTCCATGATTGAGGGAATAGTAAAAGTAGAAAATGAGCTTCTCTTACATTTCTTGGTAATTTTGTTTGTGAAGCATCACGTAAGACTCAGTAAGTACTGACTCGCCACTTTTAATGCTGATGACTGATTTCCAATGAGTAGATGTCCAGTTTTAGACTTCTCTAAAGTACTGATCTCTTAAATGGGCTTGTAAAAGCATGAAAGGAAAATGTCTAAAAATAGCAAAGTCTCAAGGGTTACATTTTTGTGAAATTAATAACACAGTCCCATGTTCTTTGGGTAGCTCTCATCTCCTCCTAAATAGCACCATTCTTTGAAGGCTGGTAAGTAGTTGTTTGCTAACGCTGAAGAACAACATCTAGTCTTTAATCTGCTGACACCTCACTACATCATTTCCTAAAGTTTATTTTATGCCATTTTCTGTAATTCATATAGTATAACCATTTCCTCAAGGAGCTCTGATTTTCACAAACACATGCACTTTATTTACACTTGGCATATGGGTAACTGAGCTGAGCTCAAAACATCAATACTTTCCCATGAATTATCCTCCAGATAACCTTTTGACTATAAGACTTTTCTTTGGCATTTCCCCCCTCCTCTCTTAAATCATTGTATGTGCTAGCTTTTCAGATCTCTTCACTTTTAGGAGGAAATCCCAATTGTGCAGCCACATATTTACTTCTTTCATTTCTTTTATGTTTCTTTTCTCATTCTTTCAGTTCATGTGATGGGTGTGGGTGGATGGGAACTCCTACTCTTATTTTATAACTGGTTTGCTTAAACTACATAGCAATGGCCACACTATTGACAACTGTAGCCCAGTAGCTGTGCAGTGGAGGAGCCACTGGCATCTAAAACACACAACAATAAAACGCACACAGTCCTCAGTTAAATGTTTGCTTGTATGTGTATCCTCCTCAATAGATTAAAGTTGCCTGTTTTAATTCACCAGCAATAAAAAAGGTGTGGTTTGTTAGCTTTGCCTTTGCTCATGCGGAAAGGGTGGCTCTATTTAATTTGTTGCAGACGTGGTGATGGAGGATGGACCTATTACAAACTTGCCTAAGAAAACATTTTTCAAACATTGGGTTGTTGTAGTCTTTTTTGGGTTGTATGGCCATGTTCCAGAAGCATTCTCTCCTGACATTTCACCTGTATCTATGGCAGGCATCCTCAGAGGATGCCTGCTATAGATGCAGACAAAACATCAGGAGAGAATACTTCTGGAACATGGCCATACAGCCCAAAAAAACTACAACAACCCAGTGATTCCGGCCATGAAAGCCTTCGACAACACAGTTTTCAAAGAGTTTCCTCCACACATAGATGATATACCATAAGCAAGACATTTTCTATCTCATTTAAACGAAGAAAGCGGGATGTAAACATAACGACAACAACAACAACATTTGGATTATATGGCTTATCGAATCATTTTATGTTCTGGCTGAACAAGAGAATTCCATGCTTCACAGACAATGGATGATTTTTAAGGACTCTAAGGAATGCTATGCTATGCTTCTACATAGTGGGCCGAGGCACCATTTAGAAAACATACGTTTCTTTTAAAATCCGAGGCGTTTCCTTGGCCAAGTGGGGAATTCAACCCTTGTCTTCAGAGTTTGGCTCTGCAAGAGATTTAAAGGCAACCAAATCCTTGCACATTCAGATGTCATATTCTAAAAATTATAGAACAGTGGTATACAGCTTTGGTCCTCCCAAGTATTTGGTCCTCCCAGAAGCCCTGGACAGCTTGTCCAGTGTTCAGGAATTCTAGGAAAACCAACGGTTGGACACCATTGTTTTAGAACAGCAAGACCACAAAGCCCTCCCCCCAAATCAGCCCTCCATATTAGCTGGGACCCTCGTGACGGTGAAAACCCACAAATGAAGTAATTGATTTTTTTAACCTAAGATAATGACTCTCTTATAATTTCTAGGTCTCCCAGTTGACTATAGTATTACATTAGAGAATCCCAGAGAGGTACTTTTTCTAGACATCTCTAGATGCTCCAGTATAACTGGTGGAAGTTGACTGTAGAGTTGCACTATAGGACCTATAGATTCCTATAGAAAAAAATTAAATCAAATTGTGAATAATCAAATCTCCAAATGTCAAAACCACAAAAGTGGAGGGATGGCTATTCAACCAAATTATATTACTAGGTGATAAATTCCTTCTTCAGAGTAGCTGTCTTGTTTAGAGATAGGTGAATTGTGTCACATTCACCCATCATATAGCACTTAGCTGTAAGGCTTCTGCACTAGAAGGTCACCGTATTAAATAATCATCCATCATCGGCTGTAGAGATCTCTGATGCTGTAGTTAAATCCTTTCCATTTCTGCTTACAGAATTGCCAGCCACTCTCATCCCAGCCAATTCCAATCTCTCCGTGAAAGCTAGACTTTGCTCATCTGACTAATTTGGTCAGGAATACATTGTTACTTATTCTTCCAGTCTTCCTGATTTTGCTGAGACTCAGTTTTACAAAGCATATTCCAAGTTTTTTTTCTCCTGTAGAACATAAAAGATTGCAATTTCTGGTGGGCAGAAAGATTCGCTGGTAGTGTTCTTAGACTGTGATCTCTGTAAACTCAGCTCTATTTCCCATCTGATGTATGCCGTGACTTTCAAAACAGGTGAGATGGCTGCTGAGTGTCACAAATACTTCTAAAAATCACAGCTGAAAGCACACATGAAAATCTTTCCAGGAGCAGCGCAGCAGGGTGCTTTTTCGAGGTGATGCTGGGGATAAATGAGCTTTCCCCCCTCCTCATCAGGAGTTTTATCACACCAGTCCACTGTTTCGCCACAATCATTTTAGGGTAGGGAATGGACACATGCCAATTTTAGAGTTTTCAATATTGCAAGATTTTGTTCCTGTTTTTCCCCATTTTATTTTACATACATGTTTGAAATATTTCCAGTTTTTTTTCTCCAAATACCTGGCATAATCAAAAAGCTTTTATACAAGCTTCTCAGGTTTGTTTATTTTAAAACCAGGATTAAACTGGAAAAAAACAGCATCAAAATCTGGGACCTTTCCACCAGTCTGGATGCTCCATAAATTTAATAAACTGACCAGGAGTAGTTCTCTAGGGTTTCAGAGTAGTTCTTTATTTTTTCAGTTTTACCCTGAGATGCCTGGTATTAATCTTGGGATTTTCTACATGACAGCCAGGATGATAACACTGAATTATCCTCCTTTCCTCTCACAGAGTTATTTATATATAAAGGCATTTATCAGGAAGGGGAACATTTTTAACTTCTCACATTAAGCAAACAAAACTGAAGGTACTGATTGTCCAGTTGTGCCAAACGGATGCAGAATGAACAAAATTCATGACAGAAGTGCTCCATTCATTAACATGAGTATGCAATTTCCCCCACAGGAATAGTTCAGGCCTGATTTCATGATCTTCAAATTTGAGCAGCAGTTACAGAGCCTATATGGGCATTACTTCATTTCCATGCTCTCATCAAGATCAGAAGATTTTTTTTTTGTCAAAGTTTAACGATAAATTTAAATATTTATATTGAAGGATAACTGATATTTGATTATATAAACTTGTAAATGGATAAAATGAGAAATGCAGAATCAAATATAGTATGTCACCACATCTGTGGGGGAATGCCATATTTCATTGCATAATAGTCGCTACTGCACAATAGTCACAATCCCATTTTTTAGCCCTTTCAATTGGTATTTTTGCTTTCTTTGACTAATAGTTGCACCCTTAATTCATTGGCCCAATGTACTCACTGAGCAAAGCCCTGTAGCTGGAAGGGTCATTTGCGCATGAGCGAGTGAGGCTCAGCAAGGTTAAGCCCTGTAGCTGGAAAGAGGGCAGGCACATGGTCAAGTGAACCTTCCGGCAAGTGAGTGAAACACTAACCAGGTGAAGCCCTATAAATGGATTTTTTTTACCACATAATAGATATACCCCCCTTTTTCAGCCAAAAAAATGGGATAAAAATGTGACTATTACGTGATGAAATGGAATCTGGAAAATTGGAACAACTATTTATTTGAGCAAGTCCAATCGGACATTATAGCATGTATAGTCTGAGAAGATACATCTAATGATAAAATAGAAGAAATTAAAGAGAAATGTGTGATTTATATGAAATGGTTAGAAGATGGTGAAGCTAGTACAGACATTGTACAAAGATTAAGAAAACTGTTCATGGATAAAAATAAAGATATAGAGGAAAATATGGGGAAAGGAAGGGTGGAGAAGGGAAGACAAATAAAAATGTAATGAGAAGTATTAATTTTGTAAAGAAGGTGAATATATAACATAGAAATACTTCAATATTTACAATGTATACACACAATATGTTTGGTACTATGTACTCAATTGAAAAAAAAAGGGAATAAAAGAAATGCGGTATGTTCCTGGATTGCTCATCGATACGGAAAACTGTAATAGATATTACAGTTGTGTTGGATGACCTCGAAAATTTCTCGAGATGACATATTTTATGAGATATGCATAAATTAAAACTGCAGATACTGGTCCAATGGATTCAAGAGCCACACTGTATAGTAAATCAGCTTGCTAACAAATATTCAAAAAACACTCACTTGATAAATATTTTCCCCCCTGATACTGTTGGCCCTCTATCCACAGAATTGATGCTAGAATTCAACCATCTAAGTTTCGAAAATAATTTTTTTTAAAAGCCAAAGAGCAAACCTTGATTTTGCCATTTTATATACAGGTTGCCATTTACTACATCATTGTATATAATGGGGCATGAGCATCCACAGATTTTGGTATCCACGGAATAGCCTGGAAACAAGAGCCCACTGTAATATTTTCCTCAATGATTGATTTATATTTCAATAAAACAGTTGAGTCATAATAATCCTTATATAGAAATTGTAGTGCTGCCACTTTAGAAATGCAAACTGGTATAACAATTAAAAAAACATTAAAGAAGGGTGCTTAATCAGAGAAAAGTTTGGAGAAACAGACCCCAGATGAATTAATGGCAGCCAGCCCAGGAGTACAGTCATTGACCACCACAGCATAATTATTTGTTATTAATTATTTACTAACACTAGTGGAAGTCAGCAATTTAGGAAAGACAATCACAGATCTTTGCTGATAAAGCCTAAAAACTACAAGGAAAGAGAGAGTGCATTAGAAATATTGCAAAAAGATGAAAAATAAGGACATCAGATTATCACAGCTGATCAGACCAAGAGTCTGCCCAGTCCACCATCCTATTCTGCAAAGTGGCCAAAGTAAGAGGAGAATTAAAACTTGACACTTGAACTTGGACATCAATTGAATATATACTCTCAGATGTGTCTTTCATTGCCCTCCTTTGAAACTGAAACAGTGTGAGGTCCCCAAGGTTGGCTTCCACGTCCAACTGGGGATCTGAATACTCCAGCATTCAAAGTGTTGCACAACACTGACTGACTTACTTATTAAAATATTTATTCCTGTGTTGTCTTGAGTTCTCAGACTCATAAAATCAATCAGTATATTTTAAAACAATACAAAATTTAAAACAACTAAGATAATTCAAACATTAAAACATATTAAATAACTTAAGTCAAAACACGGCAAGCTTAAAATAGTTAAAAACCTTGCACATTTAGGAAAAACAAATTAGGTTCCTTTGGCTATAATAAATAATTATGTTTTTGTAGTGAAATGAAGCTGATGACAGCAAGAAGCAAGCCTCCAAGGGGAAGGTATTCCAGGAAGGGGCCACTGCAACAGACAAAGTCTCCCCCATTACAGCAAAGATATCTTTCTTGTATTGCTTGGGCCCAGTAGCAGACTTCAGTTAATTCCAAATTACTACTAGAAACTTGAGCTAGTCATAGTTCTATAAAAATAGGGGAGAGTGACATCATGCTTTATTGCATCATCGCAAGATTCTTCACCACATCAGGTTGCCCTGGTCTTCTCTCATTATGATAAC